GGCGGGACCCCCGCCCCTCCCCGCTGCAGTCCCCAACCAGGTCGGCTCCCACCGCATAAAGGCCGCCGCGCGGCCCCACTCTCGCTACTCTCTCTCCCCGGCTCAGCAGCAGCAGCATGTCCGGCAGAGGCAAGGGCGGGAAGGGGCTCGGCAAGGGCGGCGCCAAGCGGCACCGCAAGGTGCTGCGCGACAACATCCAGGGCATCACCAAGCCGGCCATCCGGCGCCTGGCTCGGCGCGGCGGCGTGAAGCGCATCTCGGGGCTGATCTACGAGGAGACGCGCGGCGTGCTGAAGGTCTTCCTGGAGAACGTGATCCGCGACGCCGTCACCTACACGGAGCACGCCAAGAGGAAGACGGTGACGGCCATGGACGTGGTGTACGCCCTCCAGCGCCGGGCACCCTCTACGGCTTCGGCGGCTAAAGCTTTCTGCTCCCCGACCATCTCGAGAACCCAAAGGCTCTTCTAAGAGCCACCCACTTAAACTGGAAAAGAGCTGTGTTGCTTCAAAGCTGGTAGAGGGAAAGTGAAGGTACTTAGAGCTTTGTTTCATTTAATTAGTCGTTTTTAACGTAAATAATGACAGCTCTTAAAAGGTGCTTAAGCACTTGATAATTAACTGTAGTGCTAATTTATTGGGGACTATTCGAGTTAAGTACATTAGGGAACATACAAAGCTATTGATTTTGGTATCAGCTTAATTAGAACCCAGCAACTCTAGGACTTTTTTTTTTTTTTTACTCTGAAGAACACGAGCTGAATAGCACAGCACTATAAACTTACGCTCCTGCTTTCATGGGGGGTGAGCTGACCTGGCTCAGAGGCAGGTACGCATCGCCCTGCGGGCATCTCTCGTCTGTATTTTTTCACTAATTGAGTAAGCAGTAGCAGAAGTAAATATGTATTGGTATTTAAATTACGTTAATCCCTGTACTGATGCTCGGGAGGTGGAAATGTACGGGCGCGGGGTGGAATGTATCACAGCTGGTCGCCCACTGACCTTCTCATAAAACTTTAAACAGCGGAATGATCCCAAGTCTGTCCTCTGAAGGTGCTTTTTAGGGAATTGTCCTTTATTCTTTACGCGTCCGATGTGTTAAAGCTTCGGAAGATTATTTTTCCAATTTAGGGCTGCCGAAGCCGGAGCAGTTCTCCGTATCCAGTGTCAGTACTAATCCTCCCTTCGCCCGAAAGCCCTTCTCTGGTTGGTCTGTGAGGATATCTCTCTTGGCTAGGACAAGCACAGCAGAAATATGCAGTGGGAAAAAAGGAAAGCTCACGGGCTAAAAAGTTTTGTACTTCAGCACGCAACAGCCTGGGAATCCTTCGTGTGCTGAAAGAAATTCCAAGTCGTTAAAAACACTATCCTTTGAATTACAGCATTTTTCACGTGCAATTCACCTCAGTGCAAAAGCATTTACCATACCAGCTACGGTGTTACTTTCTACTATTTCTAGATTGCAGTTATTCTATGTAAAAACAAAACAAAAACAAAACAAAACAAAAAAAAACTCAAACAAAAAGGGA